CCCCAAAACCCCAAAACCCCAAAACCCCAAAACCCCAAAACCCCAAAACCCCGAATTTGGATGCCAAAATTGAACAACTTTTTGAATTTGCTGACTAAAGCAGTGTACTGAGAATCTTATAAAACCAAAATTGTTGATAAAAATCTACTGGAAATTTAAAATTTCCCAGACTTCTGAAAGAAGCCAGAAGAGCCAGTAATCTGATCAAAACGAGTACTTGAAAGCTTACTTCTTAATCAAAATAATAGAACTTGAGCATGAGGCAGAATATAATGTGCAGGATTGCTCACATGATTGCAATGGCAGTGACCCATTTCTGCTCCAAATACTTCTTGCCTGCATCCATGAGCTCTTTACTTATAAACAAGAGACTGATGAAACCAGCCACTCCAAGGGTGGCATACCTGAGGTATTCGATGGGAGGAACCAGTATTACGGTAGCAGGGATGAATATAGCAAAACTGTATCCATAAATGGCCAGTGTTCTCTGGTACCCTGGAGATCCGCTCCCAAAGAAGAAGCATATCCCGTGGATAATCAATGGGACTACAAAGAAATAGAAAGAAGTCATGAACCATAGTTTGGTGATCTTCCTCATCTGAGCTTCATACTGAAGTTTGGGAGGATGATTGTCAATGAATTCAAAGTCCATAACATTTGAAAAATGACCACATATGACTATGCATATTGACAAACAGATGTAGATCCATAGTGGTCCGTACAGATCTGGTTTCCCATTAGGGAAGATAGGCGTCGTGTTAAACGGCATCATTGCCAAAAGGACCCTCCTAACAACTTCTTTTGTTGATACATTAAAGAACTTCTGGTAATACCTTACCTTGCAGAATCGGGTTATTCCTCTTGGCCTAGGCTTCTCATAATCAGGCTGTTGGAGCCCATCAGAGGGGTTGGCCTGCTCTTCATCAGTAAGGAGGGTTTTCTTGCCTGTCTTATCCTTCTTATGTGTCTTTTTCTTTCCAAAAAGCATGATTTATTTCAATTATATTAAAATTGAAGGGGTTTTGGGGTTTTGGGGTTTTGGGGTTTTGGGG